CCAAGACATAAATAAAAACAAATATTAAAAAAGATAACTGCATTCAGCTCCAGGACAATAAAATTTCAGAAACCTGAAATGGATTATTTCCTTGCCAAATATAAATGTCTAAATTTGACTCAGGAAAAAGTAGAAAATTTGAGTAAGACAATAAATACCATAAAAGACATTGGAAAAGTCATTAAAGATCTTCCATTTAAAAAGGCCGTGGTGAGACTTCCCTCGTGGTATAGTGGATGAGAGTCGGCCTGCTAAGGCGGGGGGCGTGGATTCGGTCCCTGATTGGGGAGGATCCTACATGCCATGGGCAACTGAACCTGTGTGCCACAACTACTGAAGCCGGAGTGCCCCAACGCCTTGCTCCGCAACCAGAGAAGCCACCACAACGAGAAGTCTGTGCTCTGTAACTCTAGAAAGCCTGCTTGCAGCAATGAATACCCAGTGCAATCAAAAATAAAAATAAATAAAAATTATTTTTAAAAAGGCAATGGGATCATATGAAGTTATAGATGAATTTTATGTGTGTGTATGTTTAGTCGCTCAGTCATGTCCGGCTCTTTGAGACCCCGGGATTATAGCCCACCAGGCTCCTCTGTCCATGGAATTCTCCAGGCAAGAGTACTGGATCGGGTTGCCACGCCCTCCTCTAGGGGATCTTCCCAACTCAGGAGTCGAACCCAGGTCCGCTGCATTGCAGGTGGATTCTTTACCATTTGAGTAGGGTTTATTCCAAGGACAGAAGAGTGGAAATCTTATCAGTGAAATCCCTCACCAGATCAAATTAGGGCTAGAAAACCTTATGGTCACATCAGGAGATGCTGAAAAGTGTTTAATGAAATGTATAGACACAACTAATAAAAATATATAAATAAAAAACAGGAAGAATGGAAAGAAATGACGTTAGTATAGTAGTGCTTAGTTGCTCAGTCGTGTCCGACTCTGCGACCCCATGGACTGCAGCCCGCCAGGCTCCTCTGTCCCTGGGGATTCTTCAGGCAAGAGTACTGGAGTGGGTTGCCATGCCCTCCTCCAGGGGATCTTCCCAACCCAGGGATCAAACCCAGGTCTCCCTCACTGCACGTGTGTTCTTCACCATCTGAGCCACCAGGGAAGCCCTAGTGTACCATTTACCAAAACAAACGGTGTCATCCTAAATAGCAAAACACAGAAAATTTACAGTTAGTATTAGGAACTAAACAACCTTGCTATCACTTATTTATTTAACAGATGTCTTTTCTAGCATCTCCTTTGGGTCAGGATATTGGTCTGTGTTCTCAGGGATGAGTAAAATAGAGAAAAGGCTGTGATTCATGGAGCTTACATTCTAGTGGGAATTATTAACTTTGTCTTAGAATTTGTGGTAAGTTCATTAAAACAAGAAAAATGAAATAACTGGAATAAATACTGGAAAAGACAAGCTAAAACTATCTTTTCCCCCTAATGATATCATTGTATACCTTGCAAATCCAAGGCACCCCCAGTAAATCCTGTAAACATAAGAGAATTTGGTAAGTGGCTAAATTTAAAATAAATAAAATCAAAGCCTCCTTCTTGCCCCATAATAGCAACAGTCCCTTAGAAATGAAGAGTAAGGACAAATTAGAATAGTGGCAAAACCTTAAAAATACTAAAGAATATTTTTAAAAGGCATGAAACATGGAGAAAATGAAAATATATTGAAGAACACAGATCAAGATTGTGAACAAGTGAGAGACCATGTTCTTGGATTGGAAGTCTTAGTATATTTTTTTATTGGAGGATAATTGCTTGGAAGTCTTAATATTTATACATTTGATGCAATTCCAGTCCCAACAGTTTTTTTTCCAATTTGATAAAATCTGAAAATTTATAACAGAAGGTTAAGTGCCACTAATAGCCAAGAAAATAATTCCTCCATTGCCTCCCTCCAGACGACTGAAATGTAAGCTCAGGAGAGAAGGGATTTTGCTCACGGTTGAATCGTCAGCACCTATAATTTTGCCTGGAACATACGAGACACTTAATAAATAGTTGAATGAATTAATAAAGGAGACTTCCTCAAGGAGACATAACTTACCAGGTATCAGAACATACTAAAAAGCCATGATAATCAAATTACTATGGTCGAGACAGATGGCTAAACAAATAGATCAATGCAGTACAGTAGACCATCAGAAATAGATCTCGGAATGCATGAGATTTTAATATATGTCAAGCAGATGCAGAAGGCCAACAAATTAGACTTGACTCAGCAGAAAAGAATCTGCCTGGAATGCAGGAGACACCAGTTCCATCCCTGGGTCGGGAAGATTCCCTAGAGAAGGAAATGACAACCCACTCCAGTATTCTTACCTGAAAATCCTGTGGACAGAGGAGCCTAGTGGGCTACAGCCCATGGGGATGCAGAAGAGTCGGACCTGACTTTGTGACTAAACAACAACAACAACGTGAAGACAGAATTCAGAGAAGAGCAATCCTGGAGGCCAACAAATGATGAGACAGCCACACTCAAATCATGACATATCACCCCTCAGATTGGCAAAAATTACGTCAATATCATCTGTTGCCGTTAGGGGAGAAGAGCTCTCACATTACTGAGTTTTGAAGTCTGTGTGACAGTCTTTGCAAGACAATCCATCAGCATGTGTGTGGAATAATATCTGTTTGACCCAGGAATTCCACTCCTTGTTCTCGTAAAAAAATGAAACGCTATCTGCGTGGGTGTGTATTCCAAGATCATGTTCTACAGTAATGTCAGTGTGGAGGATAAAATGGAGATACATGAATGCTTATCAGGGGAGGAATGGTGGGCTATATTACACCCATCCCAATGGTGAAATGTTATACAGCTTTTAAAAAGGAATTTGGGGCTGTCTTGGTTTAATTGAGAGATTTTCTTAGTCTTTATTGGGTGGGAAAAACAAGATGCAGAAAACTGGATATAGTATAATAGTTAGCAAAAATAATGGAAAAAACTGTGCTTATAGTGTCTTTCCAATTATATGTACGTGGATAGATAATGTGCACGTTGAAATATGTGTGGAAGAAAACATAGCAGGTAGTTAATATGGGTTACTGGAGGGAAGGGAGTGCCTTTCAGGCTGATGCCAGTGAAGGGAAGTGAAGAGGAGAAATTAACTAAATAAAAAGGGAACACACAGAGAGACCACTAATAAATAGCAGTATGTATGATGGCTTTTGAGGGCTTTCCAAGTGGCTCAGTCATTAAAGAGCCTGCCTGCCAATGCAGGAGACACAGGAGACATGGGTTCGATCCCTGGGTTGGGAAGATCCCCTGGAGGAGGAAATGGCAACCCACTGTAGTATTCTTGCCTGGAGAATCCCATGGACAGAGGAGCCTGGCAGGCTACAATCCATAGGGTCACAAGGAATTGGACACCACTGAGCACACACATACACAAGCGATAATTTTTATATGTTTTTGTATATAAATTTGTGTGCATGCATGCATGGAGATGCACACGCATGTGCAAATGAAACTTTTAAAGAATTCCTATTGGCTCTGGCTTGGTTTACTCAATTATTTATAATTTCTGTAGTACTAAGCAGAAACCTAGATATAAATACACAGTAAATTCTCAAAGTTAAATGCAGCGTGGTAATTATATCCTGGCTCTTTGTGTTGTGAGTAGCAGAAATCCTACCAAAAAAACTAACATGAGCAAAAACGGGGATTTACTGACTCACGCAAGCCTCACACAAGATTAGGTTCAGAAGCTCAGTTCAGCTCTCATCAAAAGTCTTTTGCCTTTATATGCATCTCTGCCTTCTGCCTGCCTTTACTTCTCCCTCTTTTTTTTTTTTTTTTTGGCCTATCTTGTTTATCTCCCTCTTGATGGCATGACAGTTCCTTGATACATTTGTTTCTGGTCTGTGCTCCTTCCCCTGGCCTTCAGCATGTTTCTTTTTTGCTGCAGGCTTTTCATTGGCAAAGCCTCAGGAGGCGCAGTGGCAGGGCTGGTTTGAGTCACATGCCCACCCAGACTGGTCCCTGTGAGCAGGGGGTGTGTGGAGTCCTGGGCTGAGGCAGGCCGGGGTCACGGATCCCACCTTGGGAGAGAAGGGAGGCAGGGTGGCCTAGTCACCATCGCAGAATCTGAGTGAGGGGAAGGCTTCCGCAAAGAGGCCGTGGCAGGTGGGAAGGAGCAGTGTGGTCTAAGGGGAAAAAACAAAAGATCCTGGGTGGGTGGACAACAGATGTCCACCGGAGGGACTTTGGTCTGAAATACAAACCAAGCTTGCATCTCTAATAGCAGAGGACTTGAGTAGTGGGAAAAGTGGATCTGAGTCAAGTAGGAACCACAGCACATTTTTTGTTCAGTCGCTCCGTCGTGTCCGACTCTTTGCGACCCCATGGACTGCAGCATGCCATGCCTCCTTGTCTTCCACGATGTCCCAGAGTTTGCTCAAACTCATGTCCACTAAATCGATGATGCCATCCAACCATCTTATCCTGTCATCCCTTTCTCTTCCCGCCTTCAAGCTTTCCCAGCATCCGGGTCTTTCCTAATGAGTCAGCTCTTTGCAGCAGATGGCCAAAGCATTGGAGCTTCAGCTTCAGTATTAGTCCTTCCAGTGAATATTCAGGATTGATTTCCTTTAGGATGGACTGGTTTGATCTCTGGGCTGTGCAAGGGACTCTCAAGAGTCTTCTCCAACACCACAGCTCGAAAGCATCAATTCTTCGGCGCTCAGCCGTCTTTATGGTCCAACTTTCACATCCATACATAACTACTGGAAAAACCGCAGCTTCAACTATACGGACCTTAACACATTTAGGGCAGTGAAAATATTTAGTCCTTTGTCCAAAAGCTCAAATTAATTTCTAAGAATTATAGTAGGTGGTTATTTCTTTGTATATACTTACCCCAGATAATCTATAAAAGGATTAAAGACTTAAGTGGCTAATGAGGAATATCAGCTTCAGATATTTGAATAGATATTTTTCTAGGAAAAGAAAATCTACATTTTGTATTTATTCCCCCCCAGCTTTACTGAGATGTAACTGATACAGAATATTATGTAAGTTCAAAGTTCACAGTGTGATGATTTGGTACTCGAATGTACTGCAAAGTGATTAACATGATGAAGTACCACATCCCTCACCTCACATAACCACATGTATTTATTTTTAAGGCAGTTGTAGCATGTCAGATTCTTTGCCCTGTGTCTGGTGAGACATACTTTTAGGAGTTGTTCTCATTAAGCAATGCTCCAGATTTGCTCACTTTAAAGACTCCATCCTTTTTAATATTGATTTATAGCGATGCTTGGATATTTAGGTGATAAATAAATGATTGGCATCTCAATTTTGTGGGAAAAAAAATGAATGAGATCACAGAGGAAAAAAGTTGATCCAAAGTATCCATGGACAGAAGAATCTGGGCTATCAAAGTAGCAAATGTATTTAGCCATGGACTTAAAACACTTTTTACTGTGAAAGTAACGCCAGTACAGAAAAACATGCTGCGCGATGGTGTAGGACGACACGGACACTCATAGGTACCGCCCAAGTAAAGCCTCTCAGCCCACACCCAGATGTTTCTGCTGTCCTGACTTTTATGCTAATCACTTGCTGGCTTGTCTTCTTGGTTTTACCACTTGCATCCCTACCACGGCTTACCTTTGCCTGTTTTTTGAGCTTTCTAGAAATGGAGTCATACAGTATGTGCTCTCTGGGGTCTAGTTTCTTCCATTCAGCATTGTATTGTGGCCCACAATTATGGAGTGAATGCAGGGTGGGAATGAGCTGCAAAGTCCATTTTTTAGACGATCAAATTAACAACTCCCACTTATCGTAACCCTAGAAAGTTACAGGTTTTAGGTTATTACTTGAGTTCTTAGGGGGACCTTAGAATTATAATGAGACACATGAAGTATTTAAGAATCCTAGTGCTTGGTACCCCATCCTCCCAAAAGGAAGAGTCACTGCCCTGTTTATGCCATTCCAGAAAGAAAACACTTGCGCTGGATGCATTTCCTGGGATGTGACCTGAGCTCAAGGCTGTCAGCCAGTCCTGCCCAGAAGTGCCACTTTCAGAGTCTGGAGTTGATGAAGTATTTCAAGCTAATGGAGTGGGTTTTCTAGAAAACTCCTTAGAGATAAAGTAGGTACCCTTTTAATTAGATATTTAAACATTTAGTATTTTTTTTTTGCACGTTACCAAGAAGTCTCCATATGAGTTTTTAGAATATTATGATCATAACACTCTAAACATGTTCATAGGAATGGAGAATGGTTCTGTGAAAAAGGTAAGCTTTATTTAAAATAATAGCTCAGTATTGGCTCAGTGAGGCTTCCCTCACAGCTCACTTGGTAAAGAATCCGCCTGCAATGCAGGAGACCCTGGTCTGATTCCTGGGTCAGGAAGATCCGCTGGAGAAGGGATAGGCTCCCCATTCCAGTATTCTTGGACTTCCCTTGTGGCTCAGCTGGTAAAGAATCTGCCTGCAATGCGGGAGACCTGGGGTTGATCCCTGGGTTGGGAAGATCCCCTGGAGAAGGGAATGGCTACCCACTCTAGTATATCCCTGGAGAATTCCATGGACTGTATACTCCATGGGGTCACAAAGAGTCAGACACAGTTGAGTGACTTTCATAGACACATTGGCTCAGTGAATAACTTATGTTCCCAGAATTAGGAACTTAAAATTGTCCTTGGCTCAACATATTAATAGAACTTTTCTGCTACTTCTCTACTGGTAGGAAGCTTGGGTATAGAAAGTATTAACGTAATCAGCTGACGGTCAAATGTTGACAAAGTTATGTGTTCTCACACACACAGCCTTTAAAATTTCTTTCATTTCCCTCAGTTTTATTGAGATTCAATTTACATATAGCGTTATAGGGGCTTCCCTGGTAGCTCAGCTGGTAAAGAATCTGCCTGCAATGTGGGAGACCTGGGTTTGATCCCTGGGTTGGGAAGATCCCCTGGAGGAGGACATGGCAACGCACTCCAGTATTCTTGCCTGGAGAACCCCATGGACAGGGGAGCCTGGTGGCCTACAGTCCATGGGGTTGCAATGGAGTCAGACACGACTGAGTGACTAAGTGTGTTGTAGCTTTTAGGTATACAGCATAATGATGTCACTTACGTGTATATTGGGAAATGATCACATTAAGTTCTATATATTCTTTTTTGCATGTAAGTGTGGGTACAGAGAAATTAGCTCTCATAGCGGTTTTGAAACACATGCATTCATATACAGTGTGAAGTGAAGTGACGTGAAAGTCGGTCAGTTGTGTCTGACTCTTTGCGACCCCATGGACTGTAGCCCACCAGGCTCCTCTGTCCATGGAATTCTCCAGGCAAGAATACTGGAGTGGGTTGCCATAGTAAACTCTATTTTAAAAAACTCTACCTATACTTTTTGGCTGATGCCAGAGGTAAGAGCCTAACTCCTTGATTGACTTCCTTTTCCCACCAAGAGTACATCTTACTATGCTAGCCATTACCCTATACATTCTTGTACTATATTGAGTCAATTTAAATTTAACTAAGGTCATAATTTAAAAGGAAGATAATACATATTCACAAACCAATTAATCATGATTCCAAAAATCATCCAAGTTTACCTGCGCACTGGCTTTTCTCCATTAAGGCAGTAGGGTCCATAGCAAATTTAAAATGCTGGCATAGTTGCTTTCTACTTCTCAGAACTCTTATGACAGCCTTCTGCTGTTATTTCCTTGGGGGTCTGCTCAGAAATTCAAATACATTCTGATATTTTTCCAAGTAAAATATAATTTAAGACAAATCTTTGCACATACCTAAGTTGTGTCCAGCTCTTAGCGATCCTGTGGATCATAGCCCACCAGTCTCCTCTGTCCATGGGATTCTCCAGGCAAGAACACTGGAGTGGGTTGCCATGCCCTCCTCCAGGGGGATCTTCCTGACCCAGGGATTAAACCCGTGTCTCTCAAGTCTCCTGCACTGGCAGGCAGATTCTTTTCCCCTAGCGCCACCTGGGAAGCCCAAGACAAATCTACTACCCCCCAATCACATGTATTAGAGCAAAATAAAAATTGTTTGCAGATTTCCCATATTGCTGCTCCCTTCTCTTAGTCCTAATAGTCGAGAATGGACTGTTTATGTGACATCAGTCTTCAGCCATTTATCCAAAGCCAGCAGTAATAGCAACTATCATGCTTTCTGTTCACCACAGAGAGAGTTTACATGAGCTACAGTTGGCCAGTGGCTGGAGTTTGAGTGTTTTTTGATAGACATGCGTGCACGATTCTTCATGTTTCGAGACAGCTGCATGTGTGTTCTCTTTTCTTCTCTGTCTTGGCAATTAGACTGGACTTGAATATAATGCTTATTTTAGGTGTCACATGCTTCACTCTTCTTTGAGTGAATGTATGTGTACAGCGATGGTTTGCAAGACTAGTATTGAAACAGAAAGTTTGACATTGAATAGTCGAATAAGGAAGACACTTGTAACAGATTTCTTTACACTGGGAAGGTAAGAATAGTCTGCTGTATTTAAATACACTCTCATCTGTATAAATTACTTTCTGAAAACACATTTTAAACATTTATCCTTAAGTTTTCCCTTCTTTTGTGTGTTCTGAAGCACTACTGGGGTTATTTAGACGACAATTGGAGTTTATTACCAATGAGCCTCTAAAAGAGTTAATTTATACTGAATGGAGTTTAACTGCAAATGTATCTATTTCTGGTAAGTGTCCCATTCTGTCTTCAAAGAGGCCAAAATTTGTACAATTTCAGAGAGAAAACTCTCTCTATTGAGCTGAACCCACAGTGCTCTGCGGTGTACTTCACACCGCTAAGATTCTTAATGCCTTCTTTACGGTCATATCTGTGGGCTGAAAAAACCTAAGCGTGGGGATAACGCTTTCCTATATCCTGGAGGCAGAAACGCGTGAAAAGATGCCGGGGATTTAACCTTTGAAGTCTGCCACTACTAATCGCTGGAAGCTCAGAAAATTCTGTAAAGCGCGTTTCAGCGAACCGTTCACCATATTAGAATCTCTTTTCCTTTGCAGACCCCTCATGTGGCCTTTGTCAATATGCTGTTTGAGACAGAGAGAGATACGCAGAAACTGAAAATGCCCGGCCGATTTCTGTCCCTCCTTTTCCTGCCTGTGTGCGCCTCCGCCTGATTCTGGTGATGTGATAACTCAGAGAGACAGCGCCGTCCAAGCCTGCCTTCTGCGAGACCCGCCCGGCCCAGGACGGGAGGCACAGAGCGCGGGATGGCCAGTCAGCCGCCAGAGGCGGCGGCCGAGTCTCAGGTCTCGGACGAGCTGGAGTGTAAAATCTGCTACAACCGGTACGACCTCAAACAGAGGAAGCCCAAGGTGCTGCAGTGCTGCCACCGGGTGTGCGCCAAATGCCTGTGCAAGATCATCGACTTCGGGGACTCCCCGCACGGCGTCATCGTCTGCCCTTTCTGCAGGTTCGAGACGTGCCTGCCGGACGACGAAGTCAGCAGCCTGCCCGACGACAACAACATCCTGGTGAACCTGACCTGCGGCGGCGGCAAGGGCAAGAAGTGCCTGCCGGAGAACCCCACCGAGCTGTTGCTGACCCCCAAGCGGCTGGCCTCGCTGGTCAGCCCTTCCCACGCGTCCTCCAACTGCCTGGTCATCACCATCATGGAGGTGCAGCGGGAGAGCTCGCCGTCGCTCAGCTCCACGCCCGTGGTCGAGTTCTACCGGCCCTCCAGCTTCGACTCGGTGACCACCGCCGTGTCGCACAACTGGACCGTGTGGAACTGCACGTCCCTGATCTTTCAGACGTCCGTCCGGGTGCTGGTGTGGTTGCTGGGCTTGCTCTACTTCAGCTCCTTGCCCTTGGGCATCTACTTACTGGTCTCCAAGAAGGTCACGCTGGGGGTCGTCTTCGTCAGCCTGGTCCCCTCCAGCCTCGTCATCCTGATGGTGTACGGCTTCTGCCAGTGCGTCTGCCACGAGTTCCTAGACTGTCTGGCACCGTCCTCTTAAGCGGACTGGTGGGCCGAGAGGTCCGACACCCCTTGCCACGTGTCCAGTTAGGTCACTTAGCCTTTGTTTTCTATCCCAGTCTCTGTGATCGGCGCCCATGGCGTGAACAGAGCCCCTGGGCATATGTCTGTGGTCCGTTTTCCATCCAAATGTTGACTGGGTGGGTTTTCCCGTATGCTGGAAGTAACATGTGCGTTCCTACTTACGTGTTAGCAAAAAAAGAGACAGGGACCAGCTCAGCCTTCTAGGGCTTCTCTCCTGAGTCTTCCCAGAGACAGGGCAGCCGCCACTCAGAGCTGCTCGACGGACCCCGGGGCCTGACGTGTTGTGCTGCGGCAGCCGGAGTCTTTGTGGAGGGTTAGGCATGAACTGGCTCCTCTTCTCATCATCTTAGCCTGGTATGGAGGGTAGACTCAAGAAGGGGGACAGCCCCAGGGCACACTCGTTTGCACAGTGCACACCCCTGCCCCCGGCCCACAGTTGGCATGTCCCTGGATCCTTTCCAATTCAGATGCTGGTCCCTCCGTGCGTGGTACTTGCCAAGAGGAACCCAGCCTCTTGCGTGGTTTCAGTTATAAGCCTGTTTTGTCACATTACTGTAGAGAGTTTAAAACGCCAAGGAATCTGCATCAGTAAACCTCAAGGCAGAGTGTGGCCACTCATTTTGGACACACACCCTTTTTTCCTCCGTGTTTTTTTCCACTCTCCAGGTTTCTCTGAAATTCTCTCAGAGCAGTTATTTGTTCACGGAGACCCAATTTGAGCTTTTCCTTAAAGCATTTTAGTTTAGTTTCTTCTTTTTTTTTTTTAAAACGAGGTTGTTCATTCAGCACCATCCTTTATCCTGGGTGGGGTTCCATTTAATTAGTTGCTATAACTATATGTGGATTTCAATTAATTTTTCCCATTTCATTTTAAATTCTAGTATGGACTCACTTAACTTAATCCTGTAACAATTTGGCGTAAATGTGGCAGTGAAAACCCAGGAACAATTCAGGAGCTGTTCCAGCTCATGGTTTGATGTGCTGAGAACTGGAGTATTTTGCTGTGTTCTAATGAGCTATACCAAAATATAATGGCTTAGGTTTATGTGCAGTAGCTCAGGCAAAAGGATGGGCAAGAGAGATGTCAAGCTGATGCCCTTCAAGGGAGTCTATAACAAAATGGAAGGGCAGAGTGCAATCTACCATTCTGCCATCCCTGTTAAATCCCTTTTAGAATGGATTCAAGTTCTCATGCAATTTATTTCAAATAAAAGCATAAGCTTATGTGACTTGAGTTAATGAACTTCTTTTCATGAGGTAGGGGACATTGAGTGTATATATTTATGAGAAGAAATTGGTTAGCAGATTTTAGATTTGAGGGAATAGAATGCCCACAGAAAGTAGCCCTCCCCCCAGAAAAAAAGCTTTTTTAGCTTAAAACTCATTACTGATGATAAACATTTAAATATTCATAACTCTTAGAAAAGGGCATTACTAAGGCTACTTATTTGTGATGAAACATTTATTCAGTGAAAGACAGTGGACCAGTTCCAATCTCTCTGTTCAGGAAAAATTGATACTTTTCTAAACAGTAGTTTGATTTTAATTCTGTAACTGTTAACTTGGAGACTATGTATGCCCCGGGTAAATATGACTGGAAAGTATATGTGGGATGTGGCCCAATGAATTTAAGCCCTGATGTAGCCTAATACACTTATAATTTCCCGAAATCTAGTTTAGATGGCATTGTGAATGCAATTTCCAAATATCCATTTGTACTTAGAGTAAGTAATATTTAGGAGGTGTTTTGTGGTTTGGATTTATGTATTTATAAGGTTTTTTAAAAACCGTTCATTTTGCCTGAAATGTAACATCAGATGAATTGGTGAGTTGTCAGAGGGTGAGATTTCTAGAAGGCTCTGGATGTGGGCACTATGTATTTTGCTTATTTGTGTAAGGTCCGCAGTGCTTAGTTTGTGCCTCTGTATTGCGGTAGTCTTTTTTTTTTTTTTTTCCGGTTGCCAGTAAGTTAATTTGGTGTTAACCAGTTTTAAATGTATGACAACAAAAAACCCTTCATGATGTTGAATGAAAAAAGGACAGTGCTTCAGTCTTTTATTTATTGTGGTGATGTTTTATTTGTCCATTAAATTGTTATTATTTCCAAGCTAGAAGTCTGATTTTTCTGACGGTTGAAATTCAATCATTTTGGACTTTGTTTAACATTAGATAATTGCACACTTGAGCTTTCAAAGACATTGATTAAGCTAATGCCTTTATTATACAAATAAAGATTCTAGAACTTTCTGACAAAGCTGATCTACTTATCATAAAAGACCTTCATGCTTTTTTTTTTTTTTTAAAGAAAAGGACAAAAGTAGGAAAGATGAAATCAAAACTTGTCTTTATAATAAATTTTTTTGGTTTTAATTTGCTTGATTTGTTTTCCAGACTGCCTAGCTGCTGAGCAAAACGGAATCCATTTTGGTTGGGAATTCACTAACCTTGTGTGATCAGTACAAATTTTAAAAATGTACCTGATATTTAAATATGACCAGTGTTAGGCAAGGTCACAGTAATTTGGAAACATGTAGCAGTTTTATGCTTATGATGCTTAGTAAATTGGCACTATATGTTAATCTAGAGTCATGGCTTCATTCATTTCTGAAATCTACGTAAATATAGAAAGAATCGGATTAAGGGAAACAGTTACCTGTGCTTGTCATAACTTAAGTATGTGAATTTATGCTCATCTGCTGAGAGACTCACTGAGAGTAATCAACAATCAACCTTTTGTTACATTTGTTTTTGTTCTCTCTCCCCTGAAAATAAAGTCCGTGGGATTCTCCAGGCCAGAATACTGGGGTGGGTAGCCTTTCCCTTCTCCAGGGGATCTTCCTAACCCAGGGATCGAACCCAGGTCTCTTGCATTGTGGGCGGATTCTTTACCAGTTGAGCCACAATGGAAGCCCAAGAATACTGGAGTGGGTAGCCCATCCCTTCTCCAGCAGATCTTCCCAACCCAGGGATCAAACCGGGGTTCCCTGCATTGCAGGCGGATTGTTTACCAGCTGAGCTATCAGGGAGGCCCCAAGAATAAGGGACATACTTTAATTTGACTAAAATATCATTATTGTATCTAAAACACTTAAAAATACTTTTCTAATATCATTTAATATGTGGCCTACTCAAATTTTTCAATTTGTTCCCACAATACCTTTCATCATTTGAAACACAAATTACAAACCAGAATCCCATCAAACTTCACACGTTGCATTTGGTTGTTGTGTATCTTATTCTCTTTTATTCTGGAACAGTCCCCCACCTTGTTTTCCCTGTGACATTGACTCAAAAAAGCAGGCCAGTTAACTTGGACAATGCCCCCACATTCTAGATTGGACTGACTTTCAGACAAATGGTGATATTTAACTTCTCCTGTCACTTGTATTTCCTGTAAACTAAAAGTTAGGCTTGGAAGTGTGATTGGATTCAGATTTGGAGCAAGAGTTTGTCTTAGGATGATGGCATCTACTTGGAGTTGCATCCCATCAGGATACATGAGTGGAAGTTTGCCCCATTGTTCGAAATGCTGGCTCATCACTTGGTTAAGTGGGTAACCTCCAGGTCTCACCATTTCCTGTGTGCAGTTAACACAACATAATCTGTGCGGTGAATTTTGGTACTATGCAGATAGCACTTTCCCTAAAAAATTTTACCTGATGGTCTTAGCATCCAGCGAGGATCCTTGCCTGAATCAATTATTTCACTTTTCTCACTAATCTAATCCAGTGAGAACTGACTTCTCTTTCACTGGAGGTTTTCAAGAGAAGTTGGTCCAGTGCTTCTTGACAGGTGTCTGGTGGAGCAGAGAGAATCATGGAAGCCTGTCTAAAGCTTTGGTGAATCTTAAGGTTGGAATGTGTCTTTACAGTCATCTGATTATTGAAGGAAGAAACAGAAATGTATAATAATCTTTTATCTCCCAAGGTGTCTTCTATGAGCTCAGAGAAGAAGAAACCCAAATAGTCCATGAAACAACATTTTTTTAAACTTGTAAATAACGCACTTGACTCTAACCTCAGACTTTCAATGTATGATACCACTTGGGTTTCTTAACCACCCATCTGAAACATGTCTTTACTTTCTACTTAAGTTGCTTAACCAGCTCTCTAGTTATCTTTCAAATCATGTTTGGTCTTTGTGTGATTTTTCTCTTTTTTGACTTTAAACAACAGAAGTTCATTCTCTCATGGTGCTGGAGGCAAGAAATATGAAATCAAAATGTTGTCACAGTTGTTCCCTTTTGGAAGTGCGAGGAGGATTGGCCCCATGCCTCTCTCCTGGCTTCTGGGGGCTGCTGGTAATGTTGGGGTTCCTTAGCTGGTAGCCACATCACCCCAGTCTCAAATCTCTGCCTTCATATGGTGTTTGCTCCATGTGCCTCTCTGTCTCTTCTTGCGGACTTGTGGGCGGGAATTCTGTTTTATTCATCTCCGTATTCCCAGTGCTAGACTCATAGTAGCTTCTCAACACTGTGTAAGTGGGAGGAAGGAAAAGGGTGGGAAATTTCATGTGCAGACTTACCTAAGGTTCTAAGAAGTGGGAGCTGATGGGGCTGCAGACTTTGGGAATCCTTTCCCAAACAACCTTTGATCTCATCTGATGTTCCCAGAGCCGTGAGAAGTAACTGGCTACCACAAACAGCCTAGAACCAGGATGTGAGAAAGAACAGGATAACAGTTCCCTGACCAGCTCTGTGTGACCTTGGGTGAATCTCTGGATTTTAGCCAGCTTCCCGCTCTCAAAACGCCAGTGCCACGCATGGCGGTTGGGTTACTGGAGCAGACTTCTCCCAGAATCCTCCTTGCTGGAATCCATCTTGGCTGAGTGACGCCTGTGATTTTCCTTGAGTCCCGTCCCTCAGTCTTCACCAGGTCTTCTTGAACTCTTCATTTCAGACAGCTCGTTTTCTTGTTATTCTAGTAATCTGTTTCACTCCTCAGTTTATTTCTCAAAATGATCTTGTTTGGTTAGTATAACCCCTTGTTTTTTATCTGGCCATTCCCCTCCTCAAACCCCTGTAGGTGGTGGGTTCATTCATAAAGTTCACTGTGTGCTCCCAGCCTTGATACAGTTCTGGCACTTTGTCACTCTTGGCTTTAGATTTTTCAACCGCTTGAGTGGTAGATGAAATGCTTGCAGATCTATTATCAGTTCCCATAATAGATTCTATAGTCTATAGATAATGTTTTTAAATGTTTATTAAGTATGATTTGTAGGTAAAATGCATGCTGTATAATCCTAAACTTAGTATCTTCCCCTGACTCTTGCCAATACAGTTCTAATTTGGTTGAGCCAAGCATGAATTATCTCTTGGGTAATAAATTTGTGCTGGACTAGGGTCAGGTCATTCTGAGAGTTGGCTTAACATTTCAAATTCCTCTTGAGTAGTTTAGAATAAATTAAGCTCTTTGGTGTTCCATATCTATAGATAAGAAAGCTTAGTGCCTAATGTGGAATTTGAAATGAATTAAAGTAACTCTTCTGCTATGAAATGTTATTTTTAAAACTAAATAATGTTATTAGTCAATAAATGGACATCTGTTTTTGTAACATGCTGAGCCAAAACCTCCTGCACTTTTCCTTTTTTCCCATTTCCTCTGATTTCTGTAATGCCATTTATGGAAGAACGTACTATCCTTCACTGCCACTGCCCCCCCTTGCCATGTCTTCTGCACATGCATGTACACACACAGACACACACACACACACATACATGCATACCAAGTCTTTGGTATTTTATGAAACTTGAAAAAGATTTGAAAGAGAACCCCATTAGTCTCCCACCAGTAGGTAACTGTCCATTTAAGTACCATTAAAAAAATATTTTTGTGACCTCTGACAACTATATTTATGACTTCTCAAAGAATAATGGATTATTCTTGGGTGATTATTTCCTCTTGGACAGTATTTGCCATTACTCAGCAGTGGAGATTATCCTGAGCTGTATGATGGACCAGTTGGTGACACTGCTTCCATCTGATGTGATTTTTTCAAGGTACTGTAGCTAGGACTGTGTATTTCCATAGCTAAATATATTGTCATCACACATATTACTTTTAGTTAGGGTTTTAAAAATTATGAAATGATTCACAGCTTGTAATTTGACGAGCTGTAATCACTAGTTGAAAGGGAGCAACATGCACCACAATTTCGTGGGGTTTTTCTATTCTCGCAGTGGAGGATGGAGTGACATGGCATCAGTAGACCAGCTCTTGAGCTGCTGGTTACTTAATCCTCTTCCATGTGGGAAAGTGTGAAAGCATTAGTCGCTCAGTTGTGTCCAACTCTCTGCGACCCTATGGACTGCAGCCTGCCAAGCTCCTCTGTCTATGGCATTCTCCAGGCAAGAACACTGGAGTGGGTAGCCATTTCCTTCTCCAGGGGATCTTCCGGACCCAGGGACTGAAGCCGGGTCTCCTGCGCTGCAGGCAGATTCTTTACCATCTGAGCCAGCAGGGAAGCCCAGTCCTCTCCCATAATGTAGCTCTATATCCCAAGTGGAAACCTCGTCAGAATTTCCTGAGAAAATGACCTGAAGATTCATTAGTGAAAGTAAAAGTCACTCAGTTGTGTCTGACTCTTTGTGACCCCATAGACTGTAGTCTATGGAATTCTCCAGGCGAGAATACTGGAGTGGGTAACCATTCCCTTCGCCAGCGGATCTTCCCAACCCAGGGATCAAACCCAGGTCTCCCGCATTGCAAGCAAATTCTTTACCACCTAAGCCACAAGGGAAGCCATAAGATTCATTATTTAGCTAATACTTTTAACTCTCTATTCTGCATGATGTACAAATATTCCTTGATTCTTTGATGTGCCATCCACGCATGTCACAATTTATGGGGAAAAAAAATTATGACAGTCATGGTTTTTAAAAAGAGTGTCTTATAAAAACAGTTGTTCCAAAATATATGACATGGATCACATCCAGGTAGGTGGTCCAGGAAGAGAGGACTTCCTGGTTGCGCACATTGGAGCCTGTATCTTTCTCTCAGAGATGCTCACTGAGCATCAGCCCCATAAAGCATCTTAGACACTCAGATAAAGAAACCTGCTTAATGATGAAATCCAATGTTTTCTCAAACTTGTGAAACCATCAAAGTTTTTTTCTCCAAACATCTACTGATATTGTGTGGAATGGGTGCTCATATTGCGAAATTTTTACTAGGAAATTGATAAAACAGTTATAATATGGAATCTGACTAAAGCTGTAAATCATGGAGCCAGGACATGAATGATAAAAACAGTCAAGAAGAGAGTCATAATTAAGCTGTAGATCCAAGCTGAACGGCGAAATGCATCGGAGGACAAGAACAGGCTGGCTGTAGCAGGGGCAATAAAATGTCCACACTTTCAACTTGTTTCAA